TGTCACTGTCAGATAGAATCAGTCCAAATTTCTTGAGTTATTAAAAATTCTGAACCTTCTTCCCTCCACCCTGTTATTCTATGTAGAAACTACATGGCACTTACAGGGAACTAAGAAAGTATATGTGGAGTATCATTGCTAGACTTAACAAATAAAAACATGAAATATTTAGGTAAATTTCCATGTTGGGTAAATTATTTTGTGTAAGTATGCCCTATACAATATTTGGAACACACATTGAGAAAATGTTCAATGTTTATCTGAAACCCAAATTTAACCAGGGTATAAGGTACATTTCAGATGGCAACCATTAGAGTATGGACGTGTCAGTATTTACTTCAGATCTGCATTTAAAATCTTGAGATGTATTCTGTCTCTATACCTTTTTTTTTTTTTATAACTTTGATCTGCTGCTCTTTATTGGAATGTTTGATGTTTTTTTTTTAAAAAAATTTAGCCTTTTTATTTTTCATTTCAATGAACATCTACAGAGATTTTAGAATTCCATTCATTCATTGTTGCGCCCTTCTCCCCGCACAAACCCCTCCCCCCACCCCCACCCCTGTTTGCTCCTCTCCTTGAAAAGCAAAAGAAAAACTCTCTCATTGGTACACAATCCCCCAGCACCTCCCCAAACCCCACCCCCTACCCCCAAATATAATCCACTCTGCAACCCTCATTGCGTACTCCTAAGATAAAAATAATGCCCTAAAATATAATACTTTTAGGCTATTCTCTCCCGCATAGACTTCAATGCCGTAAACATATGTCATCCAGTTTTTCTCAGTCTTACCCCCACCCCAATGCCAGCCTCATTCTACAACAGTGGCACCATATAGCATTTGTCCCTTTGTGACTGAGATACCTCACTCAGCATACCTTTTCAATCTGTATACAGAACAGATCATCCGAGACGCTGGGCTATATGAAGAGGAATGTGGCATCAGGATTGGTGGAAGAATCATCAACAACCTGCGTTACGCAGATGATACAACCCTGCTTGCTGAAACTGAGGAGGACCTGAAGCGCTTGCTGCAGAAGATCAAGGACTACAGCCTCCTATATGGACTGAAGCTAAATGTCAAGAAAACAAAGATTCTAACCACTGGGCCAATTGGCAGCATCAGCATGGATGGTGAGGAGATTGAGATAGTCAACAGTTTTAATTTACTTGGCTCCACAGTCAATGCTCTTGGTAGCAGCAGCCAGGAAATCAGGAGACGAATTGCATTGGGAAAGTCAGCTGTGTGGGACCTCTCAAGAGTACTGAAGAGCAACGATGTCAGGCTGGAGACTAAGGTGCGCCTGATCCGGGCTATAGTCTTCGCAATTATGTGCTATGCATCAGAGAGTTGGACAGTGAATAGGGCTAATAGAAAGAGGATTGATGCCTTTGAGCTCTGGTGCTGGAGAAGAGTGTTGACTATACGATGGACTGCTAGGAGAACAAACAGGTTTGTCCTGGAGAGGGTGAAGCCAGAGTGTTCCCTGGAGTCAAGGATTCTGAAGCTTTGTCTGACATATTTTGGACATGTTGCAAGGAGGGACTGGTCCTTGGAAAGGGACATCATGTTTGGCAGAGTGGAGAGGAAGACCTTTGGTGAGATGGATCGATTCTGTGACTGGAATGGTGGGAATAAGTGCGTTTGAGATGGCTAGGTTGGCACAGGATAGAACAGCATTTAGAGCTCTTGTACATAGGGTCGCTATGAGTTGCAAGCAACTCGATGGCACATAACAACAACAACAACAAACTCAGAATTTTCCAATAGACTATCTATTCCTCTCTTATGCTCCACCAATATCACTACAATCCAATCTTAGTTGGCGTGTTAGCTCAAAAACAGACGGAAAATTTGTTTCTCCTGATTCTCTTGCAGTGAGAAAACCCAGGTGACAGGATTCTAGTTAATGAGTTTAAAGGGGAAACTCACTAGTAGTTCTAAAAAATGCTTCCCCCCAACCCCAAACAATAGAGTGCTTCCATACTTTGAACTTCCTTACAACTTAAATGTTAAAATAAAACCTGGGGCTATGACAGCCTTCTGGGAAGCAGGATGTAAGTGTTTTCCACTGGAATTCACAGGCTCTCATGCTGCTTCTGTCCTCTGGTGTCTTCCATGGTTTGAAAAGATAGGAGAGAGTACAAGACCCTTTATAGTACTTCAGTGCCTCCTTCTCCATATTCCCCTCATTTATCTCCACTAGTGCGCAGGCTACCAAATACAATCTGCCCTTTATCATCCCATCCCCATTTCATATATTTTTGGCATCATATTTGCCTCTTTGGTCTAGCAATACCTTTTATTTTCTGCAAACTGGTCTTACAATAGGTACTATTTAAAGAGTCTAGATAAAAGAAGAGATTCATTGGTTTTGTTGTTATGTGGTGTCAAGCTGGAACCAGCTCATAGTTACGATCCTTCAGAGGTTTTCAGAAGCTTTAAATGACACAGGATATTGCCCATCTTTTTCCCGTGGAACAGCTTTGAACCTGAGTGCCTTTGTGTTGGCACTGCAACTCCTTATCCACTAGACCAACTAGACATTGTAGTAAATCAATTGCATTACTACAATTTTATGACCAGGGATGACAGAAGGAGAGTTGATGCCTTTGGGTGTGGTGCTGGAGGAGAGTATTGAATATACCATGGACTGCTGAAGAACAAAACAAGTTCATCCTGGAGAGTGTAAAGCCAGGCTGTTCCTTGGAGGCAAGGATTCTGAAGCTTCCTCTGACATACTTTGGACATGTTGTTGCAAGGCGGGTCAATCCTTGAAGAAGGACATCATGCCTGGGAGGGTGGAGGGACAGCACAGAAGATCCTTGATGAGATGGATTGATTCAGTTACTGGGGTAATGGAGGTAGGTGTTTCAGAGACAGTAAGATTGGCACAAGATAGAGCAGGGTTTAGGGCTGTTGTACATAGGCTTGCTATGAGTCGCAGGTGACATATAACAACAACAGCAACATAATGTTATAAATATGCGTGAATGATTGAATGATTTGTAAATTTCCACTGAAAAGAGTGGTGGAAAAACCAAACAATGCAATGATAGGTACCCTTCATTTGGGACTCGGAGGCCTGGGAATTTACAGCTCCAAAAGAATATTCCTTCCAGACAACCCTCCTAAAATATAGCCTCATTGGGTCATTTCTATGGTTCACACTCTTCACTGACTCTATATTATTTTTGGCTTCTTCGAAACTTTTTACTTGTGCTTTGAGGTTATTGTATGATCTCAGCTTTCCCTTTTTCTCTAATTTCTTGTGTCATTACGCACACATACACCCCTCACCACTCTGTGTGGTTTATTCTATACTTCTGTTGATCACTGAATGAGAAATTCCTAGAAGGAGCCCAGGCTTTGTTTGTTTCTTTAGTTTGTACTTAAATCTCTGCAGGTTAATCAAACACACTGGCAGGAATGGAGAATCAGTAGTGAAAAGCCTCATAGGACCCAGAGTATTTTCACGTGCATAATTTCACTTGGTTCTTAGCAGAATGCTATAAAGTATGTAGTGTTATTGTGTGCCACCAAGTTGAACTAATGCATAACAGACCCTCCAGGACATTTCAGAGGCAGTATAACACATGATAGGAGAGTGCTTATCTTTCTGCTAGAGAAGAGCTAGTGCACTCGAATTATGTGCCTTTGGGTTGACAGTAAAACTCCTTACCACTAGGCCAGTCAAGCTCCCTGTGAAGTCATTGTTCAAATGTGAGTATTCAGACTAAGTCCTATGCTGTTACTAAATTTCTATTGACAATAGTATCATGTCAAGCAATTCGTCTAAATAAGTAAATGCTTCCTATTTTAAGAAAATGGGAATAAAGCTCTATCATTTGGCATTTGGTTGTTCCTTTAGTGGCATAATAGCCACCAACCAGCTCTTCTCTTCGTGTTCATTGCTGTTGAGGTGACTCTAACTCACAGTGACCACATTTGAGCAGAGTTCAGCTGCTTGACAGTATTATCAAGGCTGTGACCTTTAGGAAGCTGATTTCTCTGTCTGTCTTTTGAGGCAGCTATGGAGGAGTTTCATCTACCATTTTCTCCATGGAAGGGGGGGAAAAAGCAGAAAAAAACCGAATTCTGATTCCCTAAAGAATACATTCTTGAAACTCTGTGGCACATTTTATATGCATCCTAGAGAGACTTTCATTAGATGGGCAATGCATTTTGGTATTGGTTTTCTTGGGGGGGGGATTATTTTATAACCTTAATAATTTCCCCTATAACAATTTTCATCATTTAAAATAATTTATTATTTGTTTCTTATGTGTTGGTTGTGTTTTACCACTAAAATGTAAACAGAGATTAAACTTGTATGGTCCAGAGTAATGCCTGATGCTTGATAGGAAACTCAGTAACTATCTGTGGAATTGATACATGAGATACTTCATATATTGTTTACTATTACATTTAGAAGTAAAAATAACGGTTAAAGACAGAGGAGAACAAACTAAATCCTAACTGGAAATAAAAATGCAGTAAGTTTCTGTTCCTACATGAATGAATGACTGAACACGTTCATTAGCCGACTGCCATAACATGCACTGAAACCACTTAATACAGTGACTGTAGTGTCCTGATACTGAATAGAGTGCTTTTTCCTTTGCTTATTGGTTTTTATGTGTGGGAGGCAGGAGATTGGTATATAGAATATTTTGGGGTATTGTCAATCACCCAGCTTATTTGTCCTTATCAACAGGAGTGCGGCTCTGGAACTGATGTATTTATGATACAATTTCATTACAATTACTTTGTATTTGAATAGCAATAGCTCCTGGCATCTTTCATTAAATTGCAGTTGTTCAATTATAAGTGTCAGAGGCACAGATCTTTAGATAGTTTTCCATTCTTTCTCACTTAAATGAGGAAAAAAGAAAAAGCCGGTGTGATTCAACCCTTGATTATTAGAGGATAAAAGCGCTCTGTGTGGATTTAAAGGATTAAGATAAAAGCTTTGCATGTTCTGATTCTTATTCCCAGTTACAGGAACTCGTACAAAAAGAACATCTGTGTGGAAATGCTGCAAGAGGGTTATCACAAGTCCTTTACTGAGCTCTTTGCTCTGATGGAGAAGTGGGATGTCCTGAGGGAAGCTGCAAGAGTCCGATCCATCTGCTGGTTGCAGAAACCTCTGGAAGAGCAGCCTGATAAACTGGATTACTTGTACCACTACCTGACCAGAGCCGAGTCTGCTGAAAGGAATGGTAAGGAGGAATCCAGGCAGCCACTCAGCCGCAGGAGCTGCCGCCACCAGCGCCTGAGGGAAGATTGCAGACTGTTTCATGTATGCATTTAAAACATTAAGGCAACTTAGCACAGTTCAGCGTAGTCAACTAAGCAAATACATGCAATAAAGAATAAGGAACACCAAATCATGGGACTGCCTCTATACAGGGAAATCCTTTTATGCCATTTTAAGACTGGGATGGGGGTGTGGAAAATGCATTGCACCTAATGAATGTGCAGAATTTTCCAATATCCATTTGCCTACATTTATTGTCCTTCATGTTACTACTCCAAGCAGATATAAGTGTTTTTTTTACAAATTGAAAGTTTGTGGCAGCCCTGAGTAAAGCAATTGTTTTCCAACAGGATATACTCACTTCATTTCTCTGTGTGACATTCTGATAATTCCCACAGTGTTTTGAATTTTTCCGTCCTGTTATTCCACCCTTAATAGACTACTCAACTCTAAAACTAATTTTGGTGAGTCACATCCGACTCATAGCTGACCCTCAGCAATTTTCAGAAGCTGTAAATGACATAGGAAATTTCCCATCTTTCTCCTATGGAGTCACTGGTGTGTTCTAACTCCAGATCTTTGAGTTAGCAGAGCAACTCCCTATGAACTAGGTTCCCGAGAACCCATAATAGATTAGAGTGTCAGTATAACTTTTATATACCTATTCATATGCTTTTTTCTAAAGTAGAAGCAAACTCACAGTTGACCCACCTTTGAGGCTGTAAATAGCTTGGGATGAGATTGCCCATCTTTCTCCAGAGGAACAGCTGGTGAATTCCAGCTGCCAGAGATGTGAGGGCTTTGAGTTAACATAAAACTCCCTATGGTCCAGACCACCAGAGTTCCACTTAAATACAGTATTCCTCTTATATTTATTGGAAAACAAAAAAGAACGTGTGACTTGTTTTATTGTGATAATCTGAAACCAAATCCATAATATCTACCAGGTATGTGTGTACATTAAAGTTTTGTAGATGCTAAAGTATATGCTTCGTCAGTTTTCCTTTGTAAATAATCTAAATATTTATATTGACTTCTGAAGAATAAACACCTTTAAAATTATACCAATTTCCAAAAAGTTATACTATAGGCTTTGACTTCTTAATTTAATAAACGAGAAATGAAATCATAAATGAGTAGATAGGTGTTAATAGTTTCACAAGATTCAACATTATTATTTTGGAGTCTGAGATCATTAACCTGAACAGCATGCTTTTGATACACTATTTTGATTGGTTCTCATTGGAAAGACCTTCACCCTGGAGTCATAATGAATTTCATTTAATGAGAGCTATAGCTCTAACAATAGTCATCTTCAGTCAGGTTTTTCTTTTTAGAGTGAGAAAACAGTAATGTAGAGTCATTGAAATTATTTTACAAAATATGACTTGTTATTTTAGGGGGAAATGTATTTGAAGTAAGTTGGTCATGTCTTCTTAGACCATTTATCATTTGCTAAAGTGGTTCAAAGTCTATGATACATTTCTTGTATTAACCATTATTCTGAATTATCATGTGCTGTCTGTAACAGTATGAGTAGAGCCTTAAGGCCCATGGGGCTGGAGAAGCAATGGTAATAATGTCAATGAGTAATTAAAATAATAGACAATTTAAATGTTATATTTGGCTTTAAATTATTGTCAAGAGTTGAACAGCAATGTTTTTCTTAATAATGTTTGTTAAAAATTGTGAAAAGTATATTCTATTCATTCAGAGTTCCACAGAACATTTATGTGTTTATTTAAAACAAAGCAAAAATAATTGCCTGACTATATATTTTGGAAATAACAAGTGAGTTTTATTAAAGGACTCATTAAGTTTGTTGTTGTCAGGTACCATCTTATTGTTGTTAAGTGTCATCAAGTCATAGACGACTCATAGCAATCCTATGAATGAAACACCTGAACACTTATATAACTCTCATCATTTCTCCAAGTTCATAGAGTTTCTGGAAGCAAGCTATTTTAGAAGTGGATGCCACTCCTGCTTCCAAGCTTGCTTTAATCAGGGAGCTTCACCAAACACTGTTCACCATGGGTAACCATTATCTCATTTGACACATCAGTGTCACAGTGTTTAGCATCACAGCATATGCAAGTTTCCTCTGTACAGCAAATGGACAGACCAGTGCTATACCACTTAGAAGAATGTCTGACCAAGACCTAATAAAACCAGGCCTGAGGGCTGCAACTTGGACTTAGTAGCATAACTTTCTATCCACCAGACCCACAAAGCTCTACGTTATTGTTGTTGTTGTTGTTGTTGTTAAGTACCATCAAGAACTCGTAGACTACAACTCAAAACAACCCTGTCAACAACAGGTCTAAACTTATCCTTCACCATCGTCATGATCTCTGTCATGTTCAAGGCTATTGTATTGTGCTAATTCATGCCTTGAAGGTCTTCTTTCATAGCTGACCCTCCAGTGGGCTCTCAGTTGAAATAAATCACATGGGAGAGATAATCTGTCTTTCTCCTACAGAGCAGCTGAACTTTGAACCACCTGCCTTTGGGGTGGCAGTGTCACTTCCTACTACATATCCATTTCTCATGATTGTAAGCCCTGTAGAAATAAATGGGTTGATTTTTCTACTGTTATTATGTGCCATCAAGCCCATTCCAAATCATAGTTACCTTATGAACAATAGATTTGAACCTCCCATGATCTTGCATCACCCTCGTGATCTCCAATGCACTCAAACCCACATCAATCCATCTTGTTAAACGTCTTCCTCTTCTTTCCGGACCCTACACTTTTCCAAGCATGATGTTTTTTCCCCAAGGACTGTTGTTGTTGTTGTTATGCACCCTCAAGTAGACTACGATTCATAGTGACCCTTATGCAAAATAGTTCTGAACTCTGCTCTATTCTGAGCTAATCTTCACTGTCTCTGACGTACCTATCCTCATGACTCCAGTTATTGTGTCAGTCCATCTCATCCAGGATCTTCCTCTCCTGTGGTATCAGAAAGCTGGGCAAAGACAAGGATGACAGAAGAATAATTGATGCTTTTGAGTTGTGGTGCTGGAGGAGTTTTGAACATTCATTCCATGGTCTGCTGAGAGAACAAACAAGTGTGTCCTAGAGAGAATGAAATCAGGCTGCTCTTTGGAACAAGGATTTTTGAGCTTCTATCTCACATACTTCCCAAGGACTTGTGTTGTTGTTGAGCACTGTAGAGTCGGAACTGACCTGTAGCTGACACTCCGGTGTGTTTTCAGAGGCAGTTAATCACATGAGGGGGGATTGCCCATCCTTCTCCAGTGGAGCAGCTGGTGGCCTCAAACCTTGAGTCTTTGGTATTGTAGTGCTACTTCTTGCTGCTAGGCTACTAGAGTTCCCTTCCAAGGACTGGCCCCTCCCAGAGACTTTTGGCAGTACTCTTCTTCAACAACACAATTCAATAGCATCAGTTCTTCTGTCATCCTTACTCATTGTCCAACTTTTAGATACATAAGAAGGAATTGAAAAGACATGGATTACACAAGCACATCTTAGATTCTAAGCTGATATCCTTGCTCTTTAGTACTTTGGTGAGATCATTGACAACAGATTTTTCTCAATGCAACACTTTTTTAAAAAAAATTTTCTTGACCACTGGTAACATGTATGTTGATTGTGGAGCCAAATAAAATGAAATTATTGACAGTGTCAATCTTTTCTCCATCTATTATGATGTCTGCTTTCTAGTGTAGTTAGTAATCTTCTAATAATAGTGAGCAATTGATATTCATAAATTATAACAGATAAAGTTGGTTATAAAAATTCCTTAGAAATGTAACTGATATCACTAAATTATACACCTGAAAAATGTTAAATTGGCAAATGTTGTGTTATACAAATTTTTGACATGAAATGCCTTTGAAGAGTGACCCAGAGACCACCACATATTTACAACTCTGCTTTCAGCATAAATTCAAATTGACGGAAAGATTCTGCATTTGTTTATATTCTCTTTTAAAGGGAAATTTAGAGAATGAAGGCGTAATTTTGTAATATCCAGCATTTCTGGTTTCTTGTCACAGTGGTATTTGTACAACTAACTCACAATTTATTTCTTTATTTCGTACATAGGAGCAAGATTTAGTGAAGGGAAAAAAATAAAGAAGCACCAAGCCACAAAAACTTGGCGCTTGTGGGTGTAGTACTCTGTAGTGTGATGTGCTGCTGACCAAAATGCTGCATGTCTCCAATGGTTCAACTCCACCAGCAGCTTTGCAGCCAATTTCTGCTGTGTGAGAAGATTCACATATTTAGCTATTTGCAAAAGAAAATTGTGCAAAACAACACCTAGCCATACAGTTTCTTAATGTGGCTGGAAACTTTGTAGCACTAGCTCTATGAATTACACTCATTCTTCCTTCTGGTTTAAAATTCATTGGCACATCCCTTTACTCTCTGCTTTCTTTATATACTTCATCTTTTTGCCGTGGTAAAGAAACATTCCTTTCAGAATCTACACAGAGTTTTCCAATCTTAAGTGGGAAAAGTACTTGATGATATGCTGTTCTATCCTGTGCCAACCTCGCCGTCTCAAACATACTCCATTCCCACCACTCCAGTCACAGGACCAATCCATCTCATCGAAAGTCTTCCTCTTCTGTACCGTCCCTCCACTCTCCCAAACATGATGTCCCTCTCCAAGGACCAGTCCCTCCTTACAACATGTCCAAAGTATGTCAGACGAAGCTTCAGAATCCTTGACTCCAAGGAGCATTCTGGCTTCACCCTCTCCAGGACAAACCTGTTTGTTCTCCTAGCAGTCCATGGTATATTCAATACTCTCCTCCAGCACCACAGCTCAAAGGCATCAATTCTCTTTCTATCATCCCTGTTCACTGTCCAACTCTCTGATACATAGAACATAATTGAGAAGACTATAGCCCAGATCTGGTGCACCTTAGTCTCCAGCTTGACATCATTGCTCCTCAGTTCTTGATGATACTGCATGCAGAAAACTGAGAAATTGTTAATAGGCATTATCCAGTCCTTTATAGATTTTTATAAAATCCAATGGTTTAATATATCCATTTCTAACATGTTTTGAAAAGTTTTTTAAAAGGTTTGTGTGGCTTTACTCATCTGAATAACTTTTCTTTGATGTAATGCTCAATACTTAAAATTTACTGATATAATTTTTCACACTTAGATTTAATTTTTAAATATTTAATTATACTTTTAAGGAAAATTAGAAAATGAAGGTGACTGTATTGGTTTGCTATTTGAAGAGATACTTGGTAGGATTTCTTTCTAACTCAGCTTCTATTTTTCTCTCTTTGAAGAATACTTTGAAGATGTATATGAGAGCCTGTATGCTCTAGCCTGTTACTTCAATACTCCCGAAGACAAGTGGGTAAGGAATCACTTTTACGAAAGATGTTTTAAGATTGCTCAACTGGTCAAAATTGACGGTGGGAAGAAAGAAGCCAAAGCACACGCCAACATGGGCCAGCTCTATGAGGAAGAGGGTAAGTCCGTGAAGTGGGTGTTTGGCGCACTGTGTTCCGCAATGGGAAGGGTCCAAAATCCAGGCAATCAGAAAGCACAGGAGGGTCTACAAAAAGACTCGAGGCTTCAGAATAAGAATGTAAATTTTTTAGATCAAACAGCAAAGGAGTATGAATCAGCTTTACAATTCCTTGAAGTCTTACTTCTTACATTTTCTGAGCATCACCTCATAGAGGAGGGTTCTCCCAGTTTTCTCTCTTTCTCTCTCTCTAACACACACAGACACACACACACACACACCCCTCCAGGCAGATACTCCCCACCCCTGCCTGTTTGTAACCTATTTTGTTCATTTTAACTTAATTCCTCCTGTATGAAAATATATGGGAAAGGGAAGATAATGTTTTATTTTCCTAGTGTCCCAGCACTCTTATATATAACAACATATACCTATAGACTCCAGGGAAGAGAAATGGATAATCTTTTTCTTCCTCGGGATTTGCAGCCTAGGAAACCCAATATAGAGTCAACTATGGATTGGTTACAACTCTATGGAAATGAGTGAGTGACTACACTATCACAATTTTGTAGTGATCCTTATAAATAAAAATTCTCCTTATTTAATGTCTTAAAGCAGCACAAGGTCTATAATTTAAAACAAAAATTGTCAGAAGTTGATTTTTATGGTGCTTTATAAAAGATAGTAAATGGCAATCCTGCAGGCATGCAGTTTGAATCCACAGCTGCTCCTCAGGAGAAAGGCAGGTCATCTCCTCCCATGTGATTTACTGCCTATGAAAACTCACTGGAGGGTTAACTATGGGTAGGTTCTGACTCTATGGTACACAACAAGAACAAATAGGAATTTAGTTGCATTTTTTAAAAAAGGAAACGTTGTTGTTATTGTTGTTTTATACCATTGAGTCAGAACCAAACCATAGCTGACTCTCCAGTTGGTTTTCAGAGGCTTAAGTAAGCCTCATGGGAGGAGATTGTCCATCCTTCTCATGTTGAACAGTTAGTAGATTCAAACTGTGTGCTTCTGGGTTGACATCTTTATTTCTTACTAGTAAGCTAATAGAGCTCCCTAGTGGGAAGATGTTATTGTTGCTAAGTGATGAATGGAGTAGATAATACCCAAGTGGGTAGATAATAGACCAAGGAAATACTTGGGAAGCTGAAAATACTTTGTCATGAATAATACTATTCATATCCTCAAAGAGCTGCTTCATTTCCCGCAAAAAAGTAGTGAGTGGAAAAATATTTATAAATGTATGCCTAGAACTGCATAGGTGGCGGGTGGCAGGCTGGAGGTCAGGACACTTATGAAGACTTTCATACTTCAGGAGTTGCAGTTAATAGATTGAAACTTAAAGTATGATAGAAGCTAAAGGGTGAAAGATAGAGATAAAGCCAGACAAATTTATAAGAGTGAGAAACCATATTGACTGGATTTAAGAAAAGCATTAGTCATAGTAATTACTAAAGGATTTGAAAGATGAATGACATTTAAACAGGTGAACAAAAAGGAATATAATTTATTTGAGAGAACCTCATCTACTAAGGTATAATTACAGGAATTGCTAGAAAGAACAGTCTATTTAAACTGGAAAATCTATTCTTTGCAGTGGTGAGAAATGAGCTGAGTTTGATTCTAAGCTTCTGTACATTCAGTGAAAAACAGGAGTATAACATCAGATAGACATGTTATTATTATGTGCCACTGGGTCAGCTGTGACTCATAACAACTCTATAAACAACAGGTCTGAATTTTGCTGTATCCTATGCTGTCCGATCTCTACTATGCCTGAGTCCTTTGTTACAATCACTATGTCAATCCGTAGATATAGACAAAGGAGGAATTCCTAGGTGGTGCACATTGTTAAGCACTCAGCTATTAACTTGCTGGTTAGTTATTTCAACTAATTTTTTGATGCTTCAGAAAAAGGACTTAACAAACTGCTTCTGAAACATAAAGGCAATGGAAAATTAAGGAGTTCAGCTCTGTACACATGAGGTCACCATGAGTTACAGTAAACTTGAATAGAACTGGTTTTATAAATGTAGGTAGAGAACCAACTATTAAATACCCAGTGAGAGTAAGGAATGAGGAAAGGATTATTAGGGAGCTTCTGTGAGATATGACAGGGTTCAGATCTTTTGTTCATATGGTCACTAACAACACCAACACAGAATTAGCTCAAAAGTTACAACTCAAAGTGCCTAATTTCCTACAAGGTGAAATATCTCAGTTACAAAAGGACAAGTACCTTATAGTACCACTGTTCTGAAGCAAGCCTGACATGAGGATTTGAATAGAGAATAGGATAAGAGTGGAAAGATAATGAACATTTCACTGAAATAGATCAAGGAAAGAATTATTTAAAAGGAATATATGATTAGACATTATATGTATGACAGTAGCCAAAAATAAGAGGTATATTACAAAGAGAACTGTGGGGAGAGAGGCATTGTACAATAATAAATATTTGGGGCTAGGGGGTGGGGTTTGAGGAGGTGCAGGGGGGGGGATTGTGTACCAATGAGGGAGTTTTTCTTTTGCTTTTCAGGAGCAAATGGGGGGGGGGGGGGAGGGGTTTGTGCGGGGAGAAGGGTGCAACAATGAATGAATGGAATCCCAAAATCTCTGTAGATGTTCATTGAAATGAAAAATAAACAACCTAAACTTAAAAAAAACACACACACACAAAAAAGTGAACTGCAGGAGAGGGAAGAGAGGGAAGGTGAAGGGGTAAAAGTGTAAAACAATAAATGAATGAAAATCTAACTTTTCTGTAAACTTTTGTTAAAATCACCATTAAGAATTATTTTTAAAAGAAGTACTTAATAGAATATATTTAAGTGTGCCTACCACAGTACTATTTATAAAATCTGAAAATAATAGAATAAAGATATTGCACAATGGCCATGCAACAAGACCCGTAGTCATGAAATGACAGATTAAAGCCAAGTCATTCTTTTATTCAGCAAAAACTGACTTAGAACCTAGTGCCAGTGATAAAACAGAGGAGAAGAAGACAGGCAATGTCCCTTCCCTCAAGGAGTTTGTAATTCTACTGAGAAAATTAGCTTTTGCAATACAAATGGCATCAGTTAATAGTGGCAAATGGTATAATGGAAAATAAATTAAGGCAAAGGGATAAAAAGCTATTGCTATTTTTTTGCTACATGAAGTCTCTGAGAAGGTAATATTAGAGCAGAGAACATGCATGAAGTGAGGGAATGAGCTTTGTGAAAATCTAGAAGCACTTCCAGAGAGAGGACACAGATGTGCAAAGGCTCCGAGGCAAATGTATCCTCAGTGCTCAAGGATGAACAATAAGACTGGAGCTCTGGGCGTGGATTTCTTCCACTCAATTAGCTAAATATCTGTCTTAAAAAAATTCTTAATGTGGCCTGAACTGTTCTCCTGCTGGGAGCACTAAGCCATGGCCCCACATGCGGGAAGCCCCCCAAGCTCTTCCGCCTGGAGAACTCAACCAGCCACCTGGACATCCCAGCCTTAAAGCCTGGAGGACAACACACTGCTGCCCCTCTGAACTGCACCAGGGACACTAATGTCACAGTTGAAACCATTTCCTCCCTCCTCCCAGAACTTGAGCTGCCTTTAGACTCTAGTTCTTTGGACCTGCTTAGCTACAGAAGTTCTCTAGCAGAGAAGGCTGCTAATTCACAGGCCATATCTCTCCCCAACTGAGACAAGTCTTCTCTTGAGTCAGAAGATCAGAGAGAAATTCAAGCAGGATAGCTGTCCACCCTCCTCTGGAGCAGTGACTTCCTGAGCTAAGGTTATCAAAGAACCTACTAAGACATCTAGCATGAAAAACTTACCACAGCAATGGCACAGAAAAAGTAAACTACCTCATAACCTACACAAACAAAAACAAGATGTCACCCCGCCCAAATACATTATCAGTGGATTTCCCGAAGCCAGAAAGTCTGCTAGAACTTTCTGACACAGGTTTTGAAAGAACAATGATTGAATATTTTCAATGGGTTAAAGACAAACTTGAAGAATTACCAGACTCTACAAACAAAATCCAAGACAAACTTAAAAACACACAAAGAAAACCCAAACAAACAAACAAAAAAAAAAAAAAAAGAAACCCAACCAAACCCAACAACCAATCCAAGACAATGCAGATAAAACAGAAGAGGCCATAGAGGCCCTGGAAAAATAAGAAACCACAATCCAGAATATGAATGTTTCAGATGCTGTCAACATGTAGGAAGAAGATATGGACAGAATTTAAGAGATGGAACACAGAACCAGTGAAATAGAAGATAAAAGGCAAAATTGTCACCACTGATCTGTTAATACATAAAACAGAATCAAAAAGAAAGAAAAAAGAAGAAAGTCTAAGAATAATGTGGGACACCATCAAATGGAGTAACATGGCACCAGAAAAGTTGTGGAATAATTACTAGAAGAAAACTTACCAGGCTTAATGAAAAATGAGGGAATATATGTTCAAGAAGCTGAGTGAACACCATATAGAATAGAACCCAAAAGAAAAACATCAAGGCATATCATAGTCAAATTTTCCAGAACCAAAGATAAGGAGAGAATTCTAGAAGCAGTTAGGGAGAAATGAATAGTAGCCTATAAGGGAGAGCAAATAAGATTAAGTTGGATTTCTCAACAGAAATCATGTGAGCAAGAAGACAATAAGTGAAATATATTGAAAACTCAAAGAATACAACTGTCAACCAAGAATACTATCTGTAACCAGCAAAATTGTCCATAAAATATGAAGGAGAAATAAAGATATTATCAGAAAAGAGAATCTAAGGGAGTTTGTAAAAACAAAACCAGTTTTGCAGGAAACACTGAGAGATGTCCTTCTTACAGAGGTTCCAGAGAAAGCAGGATGAACCAAAGAAACAAGTAACAATGCCAAAAAGAACTCAACAAAATGAAAGCAATAAACCCTTGTCTCTCAATAATTGCAATGAATGTGAATGGTTGACATATACCACTAAAGAGAAAAAGAAAAGC